TTTTCTTCTGTTAATATCTCTTAGAAAGCAGTTATGGAATTCATATCCTAAGACTACTGGGCTGTTGAGTGGGACACAGGGAAGGGCCTGCCTGGGCGTGTTGTTCAGATGTAGTTAATGAGCTAGTGACACTGATCACTGATGGTGGCTTCAGGGCTCACTTTGCTCCCATGCATTCATCTGCTCTGGGTTTAGATGTCCTAGAAATCAGTTTTATCTCTATAGTTATGTGCTTCCGTGTGCTCTAGGCTATGGGTTTTTCTCAACTCTTATTTCTCAGCCAAATAATCTCATTTGCATTCTTCTCTAGGAACACATAAACAACTTATTTTGTTTATTTTATTTTTTATTTAAAAATTTTTAGGTTTTTGTCAGAGACTATGTGCACTTGCTGGAGAGAGTTGGAGAGAGGGAAAGTGGGAAATCATCCCCCCAAAGGGTGGTGTGGCCATTCCCTTCTCCATTTTCCTCCTGGGATTTTGGGCATGCATGCACATGGCCTGGCGTGATTTCAAGCCACCAGGTCCGAGACTCAAACCATAACCGACCATGTGGGAGTCCCGTGCCTTGATCTCCATGCTACCTGCTCTTCCCCCACAAATAAAGTTTTGTATGAAAGTGGAACCTTTTTATTTTCCATTTCCCAAGAAAAAATATAGTTATATAACATGTATCTATATAGTATATATGTAAATGTGTAAAATATACTTATGTATTTACTCACATATATATTTACTTTTCCATTATTTTGAAGAATAAAGGAAAGAGAAGAGTATTGGCCAATTTAGGCTGGATGCCTGAAGTATTCATCATATAAATACAATATCCCCACAAATTATACAGTTAAAATGTTTTTGTATGTTTTATTACAAGTCATAAAATGGAATTACCTTGCTTTAATCATCACGTGTTAACTTATATTACACAGAATTATGAAGTTAATTCATTATAGCATACGATTTGTGAAATCAAAAATGGTAGAGTGGTGGGCCAATATTATTACAATACATGCCCAAAGAAATATGTCTTCACATAGTATACTACAAATATTGATTTAAAATTATGTAGGGGGGGTTATTTTTTAAATTTCACACGTTTCTTGCTTTTATATGATGTTTTGTTATTGACTTCATACTAGAATCAGATATTGAAGATTTTATACAGTCACTGAAGCACCAAAATATACTTTTGGAAGTAGATGACTTCAAAAACAGAAATGGTACAGACGCTCTCTCATACAATGGAGCTATCATAGTTTCTGGTAAACAAAGGGTATGTTTGCCTCTTTTTTTTGCTTTTATGACCAAAACTAAAAAGAAAATACTATATTTTAATTCTTTAAGATATTACAGAAAGTGAATCTAGTTAGTAGACAGCACCTTGACTCAGAAAACCATTTGGGGGTCATTACTGAATAAGCTATAAACTTTCTTTTTTTTTGAGAGTTTTTTTTCTTTCTTTCTTTCTTTCTTTCTTTCTTTTCTTTTTTTTTTTTTTTTTTTTTTTTTGTCTACTACAGAGCTTTTGTGCTCGCCAGATAGACAGAAAGAAATAGAAAGATTGAAAGCAAGAAATCCAGCCCTGGGGGGGCCACACCGCAATCCCTTCTCCTCCTTTCTCCTCTTGGGATCCTGGGCATGCATGCACAAGCACCCGGAGTGAGTTTTAAGCCACCAGGCCCAGGACTTGAACCATGTCGACTACATGGAAGTCCAGCGACATAGCCATTATGCTAACTGCTGGTCCCGAATAAGCTTTAAACTTTCAATAAGTATTTTAAAAATGTTTTCTGTATTAATGTCATTTTGAATTAGATAATTTTTACTTTTGAAAGAAGCTAAATTTAATTGCACTGTTCAAACTTAGTAAAAATGTAATAGCTTATAATTATCAACTAACATAATATAATTATGAACTTAAGGAGTTCTATTCAGTAGTTAACTGTGCAAACAATGCTTACATATATTGAGAAAATATACTAAATACTATAATATCCACAAAGTCTCTGAGAGGAAAAAATATTCCCAGTCTACTATGTTAACACATTTGGATAAAAGTTATGGAGATCTGTCAAGGAAAAAAAGCTATTGAAAATATATCCTTGAGACCAGCAGATGGCAAAATGGTTATGTTACTGGACTCCCAAGTAGCTGACCACGGTTCAAGTTCCAGATCTGGAGGCTTAAAACTCAGGCTAGGCATGTGTATGTGTGTGCCCAAAATCCAGAGAGGAGAATGGAAGAGAAGGGATTGTGGCATGGCCATATCCCTGAGGGGTGATCTCTCACTTTCAGTCTCTCTGTCTCACCATCTTACACGCATTCCAAATAAAAGGAAGGGGCCAAATTAAGTAAAGCTACTTCTTTATTTCTTGCTACAAGGGAAAAAAATATCCTCTGAATATATATCATTGAATTCAGTTCTAGCTAAATGTTTTTATCATAACAAATGTAACCTTTTTGTGCCAACTTTGGGGAACCACTTTCTTTGGCAGCTGCTTTGTTTGGTCTTTACCTAGCATATTTACTTCATAAACTACTGGCAATAATCAAACAACATTGAACCTCCTGATAAATGCCTGAACGTTTTCATACACATGACATATATAGATTGTCTTAGAAAGTCTGAAAATGCTTCATCGAAAGCATAGCCATGAGTATTTCATAAACGCGGTGTTTATCTCCAGGTTGGAGAGTAGCATTTCTTCACTTGCTCACAATAAACTGACAGGATCTCCTTTAAAAGTCAGGGTGACTTTTAAGCTCCACTAACTGAAATTGCCTCATTAGCAAAATGGAGACAAATGATTTAAAATTAGTAATTTAATGCAAACTTATGTTGAGTAGATGATGACTTTATACTACCTATGGTGCCAGACCTAATATATATAATCTCATTTAAGCCATACGACAACCCACTCAGTATCCCCTTTCACAGATGAAGATGCTACAGCCCCAAAACGTCAATTAACTTTATGAATGGACACACAGATAGAATGTAACACTGTTACGATCTTATACATAAAAACCTCATCTTTGTTCTTTAAAGATTTAGAATTAACGCCTATTTTTGTTTTAAGGATTATAGATATTCTGTTGTGTGTAATACCAAAAGACTGCACTGTTTTCCTATCCTCATGAATATTATCAGCAATGGGATACTTCAAATGTTTAATCATACACAACATATTCGAGTTGAGAGAAGCCCATTTCCTGTTGTAAGTACTGAATTTATTGATTTTGAACAATTAAGAATTTGACAAGTAACCCATATTTCCTCATTAGCTTTTAAGCATTTATAATTTTTTAAAGAATTATTTTATTTTTTTTATTGAGCTTTATTTATTTAATTTATTTATTTTAATTTGACCAGAGAGGGACAGAAAGAGAGAGAGAAGGGTGGGGAGTGAGAAAGCAAGCCTTCAGGTCTGGGACTTGAACTTTGATCAGCCATGTAGGAGTGCAACACCCTTAACCACCATGCCACCTGCCAGCCCCTAAAGCATTCATAATGATTATGGATCCTGAAAATTATTTTTTGTCCTGACATTATAAACAATTTATATATCAAATACAATATGATTTTTCTTTGTTATTATTAAAAATTATCATGGGGGAATAATTTTCAATATTTCATCATCATCTCCTGGGGAATGTTCTAAAAAGTTGTACATATTTGATTGCAGAAATGTATTAGAGTGAGACAGACAGAGAAAAGATCGATTTGGAATTCAGGAGCATTCGTTGTTCAACTTTAGAATCTTAAAAATTGACATAATTTCTTAGTCTACTATCTGTTGACTAAATGGGGTTGTATATTAGCTGATTCATTTCTTCACCATAGCAGTTCTACATCACTGCAGGCAAGTCTGATTCACACAGGCCATGTAGATTTTGAAGAGTCTTTGTCAGCTGGTTATGGTCTGACATTAGACCTGGTGTCTACACAGGAAACAGTGGGGAAAAACAGGATGGCAGGAGATTCCCCAGCACCCTGCACTCCAGTTACATCAGTTTTTTCCTTTATCCCCCAACCCTGAAGTGGCTTCCCACTTGGTCTTCCCTGTTCGATGACCATTACCCATGTGACCAAATCATGATTGATTTTTTCCCTTTTAAGGACTTCAGGTAGTTATGGTTTTCTGGTTAGACCTTGACTGATACCAAGAGGAATCTCTCAAAACTGTCTCCAACTATCTTACACCAGGAGTTTGGAAGAGCAATTTATAATTTCTGGTTTGGAAATGGAGCAAAGGAAAGCTCATTTTGTGACAAAGGTGTTGACCACTATATTAGTGGTGCTAGGTATAGAAAAATGCAGATGTTTTTGCAGGCAATGGGGAAAATGGAGATGGAATATATATGAGAGGCCAGTGCTGGACATAATCCTGTGCACCGAAGTATGATCCCAACCAGCAGAGAAAGCCCAGGACACTTCGAGATAGTGAGGTCTGAAGGGAACTCTCCAGAGAGCAGAACCAGTAGGAAGCAGAAAGAAACCATTTTTGCCCATCTTGGCTCTTTAGTTTCCTCAGGCCATTGCCTATTTACTCAAGATCAAAATGAACCAAGGCCCCAGGACGACTCTCTCAAGTCTGCTTTTCCCCTTTATCCCCATCAGCTGCACACATCTTTATGCGTTCTCTCATCAGTTCCTCTGATGATGGTAATGCGTTTTCCCACCTGGTAAAATACTGGATTATACAGATACAGCCTCCAAAGATGTAAATAACATTTAAGAATTGCAGAATTATGTTGAGACACTCTCTTGCTGCTCTCTTGTAATTATACCCACAAGACAGTCCTAGATGCTGCTTGGACATGGACCCAGTTCAAAGCAGACACTGATTTGAGGGTTGTGACTTAAAGTTCATCTCCTCGATGATTATTTTTAACCTTTGAAGAGGGTTAAGCAGCACCAAGTTTCTTGTTCAGTTCATTCTGTGCTTTGGAACACATTCTGTGTTTTGCCCAGCTATGTATCCATGCATGGTTTGCTGAGAAAGAACATGATGCATAGGTAGATTAACTCTCTGTTAATGCAGGGTCACAATTCCTGAATTGTTATTTTATTTTTTTGAGAGGTTTTTCTCTATAGGATGTGTGCACTCGCCAGCCAGCCAGAGAGAGACAGAGAGACAGAAATCGAGAAATCAACCCCTAGGGGAGATGGCCACACCGCAATCCCTTCTCTTCCATTCTCCTCTCGGGATCTTGGGCACACATGCACACGTGCCCAGCGTGAGTTTTAAGCCACCGGGTCCAAGATGCGAACCGTGGTCGACTACGTGGGAGTTCAGCGACATAGCCATTACGCTAATTGCTGGTCCCCCTGAATTGTTATTTTTAAGGTTTTTGCCGTAGGGTATGTTTGCCGGCTGGAGAGAGACAGAAGCAGTGAGAGGGAAAGTGAGAAATTACCCCCTAGGGGAGATAACCATTTCACAGTTGCTTCTCCTTCATTCTCCTCTTGGGATTTTGGGCATGCACGCACATGCACCTGGTGTGATTTTCAAGCCGCCAGGTCTAGGACTCAAACCACATAGCCATATGTGAGTCCAATGCCTTAACACCACCACCCGTTGATCCCAAATTATTATATTTTTATTGTAGTAAAAACACATACCATAAAATTGACCGTATAACTATTTTTAAGTTTACAGTTCAATAGTGGTAGGGATATTCATATTATTGCAATACTAATCTCCAGATCTTTTTGTCATGCAAAACCCAAACTCTCTATTCCATTGAAAAACTCCTATTTCCCCTACCCTCCCAGCTTCTGGTAACCATCATTGTACTTTTCGATACTATAATTTTGACTACTTTGTATACCTCAAATAAGTGGAATTGTACAATATTTCTCTTTTTGTGACTGCTTTCTTTTACTTAACATAATGTCCTCCAGGTTCATCCCTGTTGTAGCATGCCACAAAACTTCCTTCCTTTTTAAAACTGAGTAATATTCTATTTTATGTGCACATAACCACATTTTGTTTATCCATTGGTCCATAGATGGAATTTGGGTTGCTTCCACCTCTTGGCTATTATTCATAGTATATACATCTGAATGTGGAGTGTGCAAATATCTCTTCAAGACAATGCTTCAAAACAATTTTTCGGTATATACCAAGGAAAGATTCCTGAATTATTTTTGACTTATCTTTGGTTTTTGAGCTGAAGCCTCAAAATAAATCATTGTTAATTAATTATAGTTAAATCAAATTATTTTCCCTCTGCCTTCAGTGCATAGTTGTTGATGAACTAGACCTACACTGATTTTTTAATTTTTCAAAAATCATATTGTTATGATTATTAGTATTTATTTTTCCTTTAATTTTAAATTTCAATTTCTTTTATACATTCAATCACATGTTACTTAGCTTGCAAAGTGAATATTCCAACATGTGTACATTTCTTACCAGTGCAGTTAACAATACTATAAAGTTATCTTCAATAGATAATAACCTATTTCTTTGTCCCATAAATGACTTGCCTCTATTTTTTTCCTTAATGTTCTTCTTCATACTCTACTCCTTAATCCACCCTCTTCCCATTACAGTATCTGGTATTCACAACCATTTACTGTTTCTATAACCTTTAGTCATTCAGTTTTGGCCATAGAGTGCAGAAATTCAGTATATATTAAGTGGAGACATACAATGTCTTTCTTTCATAGCCTGGCTTGCTTCACTCAGCAGTAAATCTTCCATATTCATCCACTTTTTGTCAAAAGCCAGAGTCTTGTTTTTTTTATGGCTGAGTAGTATTCCATAGAGTACATGTGCCACTGTTTTTCCATCCATTCATCTCTTCATGGGCATTTGGGTTGGTTCCATGTCTTAGCAATTGTGAATAATGAATGCCACAATAAACATCGATGTTCAAGCACTTTTCCAATTAAGAATACTTTTATCCTTTGGGTAGATACCCAGGAGTGGGATTGCCAGATCATATGATAGTTCTATTTGTAGATTTTGAGGAATCTCCAAATTGTCCTCCACCGTGGCTGAACCAATTTACATTCCCACCAGCATTGTATCAGAGTTCCTCTTTCACCACACCCCCGCCAGCAATCATCTTTTTTACCTTTTTTTAATTTTTTTATTTTTTTGGTTTATCTTAGTCATTCTTACTGGGGTTAGGTGGTATCTCATTGTGGTTTTGATCTGCATCTCCCTTACAATGAGGAATGTTGAGCATTTTTTCATATGCTTTTTGGCTATTTTTATATGTCTTTCTTAGAGAGTATTTTTTTCAACTCATTCTCCCATCTTCTAATAGGGTTGATCATTGTTTTGGAGGGACACGTGCTTGAGTTCCTTGTGTATTCTTGTTATCAGTCCCTTATCTGATGCATAGCTTACAAAAATATTTTCTCATTCTGAGGGCTACTGATTCACACTAATTACTGTGTCTTTTGCCATGCAGAAACTTCTTAATCTGAAGTAATCTCATTTGTCTATTTTTGGGATTATTGACTGTGCTTTGGTGGTCTTATTTAAGAAGTTTTTGCCTACCTCAATGTCTCCCGTCATTCTCCCAGTGTTTTCCAGCAGCAGTTTTATAGTTTGAGGTCTTAGGTTTAGATCTTTCATCCACTTTGAGTTGATTTTTGTCAATGGTGAGAGGTAGGGGTTCAGAGTCATTTTTCTGCAGGTGGTTACCCAGTTTTTCCAGCACCATTTGCTGAAGAGGTTTTCCTTTTCCCACTCGATTGACTGGTAAATTAAAAATAATTCTTAAAAAAATCAGTTCGCTGTATGTTTGGGAGTTTATTTCTGGGGATTCTGTTCTGTTCCATTGGTCCAAGTGTCTGTTCGTGTGCCAATACTATGCTGTTTTAATTACCACAAATTTGTAGTATATTTTTAGGGTTAGGGAGCGAGATACCACCCACTCCACTCTTCTTGTGCAGGATTGCTTTGGCAATATGTTTTTTTTTTTTTTTTTAATGATTTCAGACAAATTGTATGATTGTCTTTTCTAGGTCTGTAAAGAATGTCTCTGGCACTTTGATTGGTATTGTGCTAAATATGTAGATTAATTTGGGTAGAATAGCCATTTTGATTATATTAATTCTTCCAATTCAGGATTGTGGGATGTCCTTCCAATTTTTTGTGTCATTTTCAATTTCATTTTTTAATTTTTTGTAGTTTTCCTTGTGGAAGTCTTTAACTTCTTTGGTTAGATTTATTCCTAGGTATCTTATACTTTTTGTGGCTATGGTAAATGGAATTACTTTTTTCAGTTCTATCTCAGTCTGCCTGCTGTTTGTGTATAGAAATGCTATAGATTTCTGTATATTTACTTTGTATCCTGCAACTTTACTGTATTTCATGTATTACTTCCAGGAATTTTTTCATGGATACCATTGGGTCTTCTATGTATACAATCAAATCATCTACAAATAGAGATAGTTTCACCTCTTTTCCTATTCGAATGCCTTTTATTTTATCCTCTTTTCTGATAGCATAGGTGAAGACTTCCATTATTATATTGAAAAGGAGTGGAGAAAGTGGGCATCCTTGTCTTGTACCAGTTTTTAGTCAAAAAGCTTTCAGCATTTCTCCACTTAGGATGATGTTAGCCATGGGTTTTTCATAGATAGCTTTTACTGTGTTGAGAAAGTATTTATTTTTAACAATTCACTTTTTGGGGGGAGGTTTTTGCTATAGGGCATGTGTGCTCGCCAGAAAGACGGAGACAGAGAGACAGAAAGTGAGCAATTACCCTCCAGGGGGGATGACCATGCCACAATTCCTTCTCCTCCATTCTTCTCTTGGGATCTTGGGCATGCACGCACATGCTCCCAGTGTGAGTTTAAGCTGCCATGTTCAGGACTCCAACCACTGTCGAATATATGGGAGTCCAGTGACATAGCCAAAAAACTTATCAGAAGGCATGACATTTGCTGGAGAAAGAGAGAGAGAAAAGGAGAGAGTTATGGAAAGTACTCCCCCCGCCCCATGTGTTACCGTCACACTACAATCCCTTCTCCATTGCTCCCTCCATACTGGATATAGGGCACACATGTAAACGTGCCCAGTATGCTTTACAAACCACGGGTCCAGGACTAGAACTGCAGGATTAACTAAATGAGATCCAGTTGCCTTAATCACCAGACCTTGAGCTGGCCCACAATTCACTATATTCTTTTTTTTTTTTTTAAGAGGTTTTTGCTACAGAGCGTGTGCGCTCGCCAGAAAGAGAGAGACAGAGAGACAGAAAGCAAGAAATCACCTCCCAGGGGCTGGCCATGCCGCAATCCCTTCTCCTCCATTCTCCTCGGGATCTAGGGCATGCACGCACACATTCCCAGCATGAGTTTAAGCCACTGGGTTCGGGACTTGAACTGCAGTCGACTACATGGGAGTCCAGTGACATAGCCACTAACTGCTAGTCCCTACAATTCACTATTTTAATGTGCATTTTATGCTTGCAGAACCCTATGTTACTTGATACGGGGCTGCCAGAAGGTTCCCTTTTCTTACTTCATCTTGCATCCAGCATGTCTCCCTTCATCGCTATGAGCAGCATCAGCGACTACAAAGTAAGGAAAAGGAGAGAGGAAGTATGAAACTTTAGGCATTTCAGTAATTGTACTTAAAAGTTACAGGAAAAGCACAATGATTTTTTTTAGGAGACTCAAATAAATTTAAATATCCAAAGGAGAATATTGTAAATCTTTTGACTCCATTATTTTCTAACTACGAGGGAGAAATCATTGATGATGAAACTGAAGACCAAATTTAAGCATTAAATTTCTTTTCCTCTAAAGATAACACTTTTATGTATGTTTGTATTTAGTTTATTTCCATTGCCCAAATAAAATATTAATAGCAAATTGGTTTAGATAAAGCCAGATTTCATCATTGTGGGTCAATAGCTCTCTGAGAAAGCATTTAGACAAAGAAAATTTTATGTCCTTCAGGTCATAAATAACATTTCTTTGGAAGGAGTTTAATGTTTTGATCTTTATGAGATCTACTTTTTTATTAATTATTCACAAGTTTAGACGGCATTGCAAACCAAATTTATCAAATAAGAAATGCCTTTTTAAATATGGCCACATTGATGGAACTGACTCTGTGTAGGCATCAGGTTCCTAAACAGTACATGCATAATTATTTTTAAAAATACTAGAAGATTACAATTGTCTGAAAAATTCTTACAATGTGTTTGTGTGGGGTTTGCATTTTAATTGAATTATTGTACATCTTGTGTTTTTTTCATCAGAAACAAGCTAAGTCCCAGCTATGGATTTCAGGCCTCTACCCTTCTGCTTACTGGTGTGGGCAGGCACTGGTGGATATTAACATCTTTGTTTTAATTCTTTTTTCAACATATTTAATTATATATTTAGTAAACATGCTTGAGATTTATATTACGCATCGAATTGTGCTTGCGCTGGTAAGTAATAAATGATGTAGACCAATTTTTATAAAGTAATTAGTAAATTTTAACATTGATATTTTACATAATCAAGATATTTCCATTTTAAGTTTGTCATAAATCAAAGCAAAAAGCACACAAAATGCATGTGCATTGTGATATTTTTAAAATAACTGTAATTTGGGACCAGCAGTTAGCGTAATGGCTATGTTGCTGGACTCCCATGTAGTCGATGCGGTTCGTGTCCTGGACCCGGTGGCTTAAAACTCACACCGGGCGCATGTGCGTGCGTGCCCAAGATCCCAAGAGGAGAATGGAGGAGAAGGGATTGCGGCGTGGCCATCCCCCCTGGGGAGTGATTTCTCGCTTTCTGTCTCTCTGTCTCTCTCTGTCTGTCTGGCGAGCGCAAGCACGCTATATCAAAAACCTCTCCAAAAAAAAAAGAAAAGAAAAAAAAGAAAAGAATTGTAATTTAATTTTCCCCTCATGTAATATTTCACTTTTTGACTATGATACTTTTTGTATTATCTTCAGATTATAATTACACTTGGTTATGCGGCTTCTAGCATCTTCTTGACATATGTGATATCATTTATTTTTCGCAAGAGGAGAAAAAATAGTGGCCTTTGGTCATTTTGCTTCTGTATTGTAAGTACATATCCCAAAATACAATAGAGAGATCGAGTTATTTCAAACTTTCACATAATCTTAAATATCGTCTCTTTTTCCTAGAGCAATAGGAATATTAATGATCCTTAAAAAATATGTCATAGACAGGACCAGCAGTTGGTGTAATGGTTATGTCACTGGACTCCCACAGTCAACTGTAGTTTGAGTCCTGGACCCGGAGGCTTAAAACTCATGCTGGGTGCATGTACATGCATGCCAAAAATTCTGAGAGGAGAATGGAGAAGGGATTGTGCGTGGTCATCCCCCCTGGGAAGTGATTTCTTTCTGTCTCTCTGTCTCTGTCTCTCCAGTGAGTGCATGTGCCCTATAGCAAAAATCTCTTAAAAAAATTATATCATAGAAAGAGGAAATAAGTGCAACTTATATATACTGAGTCCATGCTGTTCCTGAAGAATTCAGGTACAACCCTTTTTGCAGAGTTCATGAAGAGCTTTACGAGAAAGCTAAAGTTTAAAAGTTAGTATTGAGTTTATGGATCCTTCAGAACACAGGGCTTTCTGGAAACACTATAATAAAGCTGACTTAATAATAGTTGACAGTACAATCCATTTTTACTGTCTTTATGAAGGTCTCCCCCTAACCTCAGCTGCTAAATTTCAGATATCGAAGATGTTTCACAACTATGTCAGATAACTTGTTAATAAGTATATATAAAAGTAAAGAACTTTCTCAAACTCTTTATTTTCTGATTACTTAAAATTTCAAATTATCGGGACCAGCAGTTAGCATAATGGCTATGTCGCTGGACTCCCACGTAGTCGACTGAGGTTCACGTCCCGGACCTGGCGGCTTAAACTCACACCAGGCGCGTGTGCGTGCGTGCCCAAGATCCCGAGAGGAGAATGGAGGAGAAGGGATTATGGCGTGGTCATCCCCCCTGGGGGGTGATTTCTCACTTTCTATCTCTCTGTCTCTCTCTGTCTTTCTGGTGAGCGCATGTGCCCTATAGCGAAAACTTCTCAAAAATTTTTTTCAAATTATTTTTCTTTGCCTTCCTTATACTTAATTCTGTATATTTATGCATATCATTTGTATATCATTGAAAATAATCTACGTCTTTATAGAACAGTGAAATGTCAGACTTGTAATAAATTCAAAATTCCCTAAATTATTTGTTCAAGGTCATGCAAAAATTAGTAACAGACTCACTCAGTAATAAACTCGAGGTCCCAGACTTTATGTCACTCTTCATGTCAAAAATTATGATATATTAACACAGTTAATAAATTGACTCAAAACTTGTGCCGATCAACACATCTTGATTTTTATTAGGCTATACATCTTTACAAAGAGCTCAGGCAATTTGCAGTAAACTTTGCTTTATGCCTGATACAGATGTCTTATAATTTCATTCCAAGTATGTATTGAGTATATATGTTTGAGAATTTATCTTTCATCATGCAGCTAGTATGAGCTGAAATGATGCTAGGATTAGGGTTGAGGTCATTTTTATTCCTCACAGGAGGAGATGTCAGAATGCATAGTATGCTGATATGAATGTCTCCCCTAACCTCAGCTGCTAAATTTCAGATATTAAAGATGCTTCATATCTATGTCAGATAACTTATTAGTAAATAATGTGTCCTGGTGTGATCTGGGGTTCATCAGAAAGGACAGAATAAGCAAGGCTTCTAATTTGTTGAGTGCTTTGAGACCAGGAAAGGAAGCTGGCAACTGGATAGAAGACTTGTTAAAAGCTTACTGTCAAAGGACAACTTAGAAACCTGAAGTTAGGGATCAGCGGCAGTTGATTCTCACTATGCAGCTGCAGGTTCCACCTCCCCCAACTCAGTGCTGCTCACTGCTGCAGCTGTGGTCATTCTAGCTGTGACCTCTCCAGACACTGCGGCTCCTATCCCATGCTGCTGCTGCTCCACCACTGCATACTTTTCCCTAGTAAGCTGGAAATGTTAAGTTGCTTTGGAGTGGAGACTTGAATGTTTAGGGGCTGACAGATCAAAGGTCCACTAGTCTCCCTATAGTTAAGAGCAAGGGAAGCTTTTATACCTACCAACCGTTCAGTTTCTGCTATAGAGTGCAGACACTCAGTGTATATTAAGCAGGAACATACAATGCCTGTCTTTCATAGTCTGGCTTGCTTGGCTTAACATTAAATCTTCCATATCTATCTTCTTTATATCAAATGCCAGGCTATAAAAGCAGGGAGGCCCATATAGAAGGGGATGGCAATAGGGGATGGGAGAGAGGGGATCAGGGAAAGAAAAATAGAACATTAGTAGACACAAAAGTTAAAATTATCTGATGATAATGTAAAGATAATGAGAAAGACAGTAAGTCTTTGTCTTCACTAATATGCATCATATCCATGCTGGGGAAAACCATATTATGCACTGTAGAGATGTAAGTGATTAAATATAAGTGAAAAATTAACTTAAAAAGAGGAGTAAGGGAGGCAAGATAACTGCTAGGCAGTCTTGAGACTAGAGATCAGGGTGTTAACCATGCTTTTTATTTTATCTTATTTATTTTTATTGTACATTCAATCACTGTATATCATTACAGCTTGCAAAATGAATTTTCCCAGTATGAATGCACTGTATATTAGTCCAGTTAAAGATATTATCATGCATATTATCATCAACAAATTATTTTCCATTTTCGTGTCCCTTAAATGTTTTGCTTCTTTATCTTCTGCTTGATTCCTTCCTCTCTTGCTTAACACAGCATGACTGGGAGCTGGTAGCACAGTTAGAGGGACTGAAAGACTGTCCCAGGTAAGAACTTGACTCAACCAGAAACTCTGATTCATGGGTAGTACTTAATGACGGAAATGCAGCAGAAGAGTGGAGATCAGACACATCAATAATCAGTTTCGACTTACATACTCACACACCATCACTGAGTGAAGCCACAGTTAGTGGAGTGGAACATTTGTTTCTGAAGTGCAGTGGAATCCTGTATTCATGCTAAATTTTTAATACTGGGCCTCTATGTACTATTCAGTGACTTTACAATCTGATTCTTACTATTTTTATTATAATTAGTACATTAATAAGATCCAACAAGGATTTAATATAATGGCCCATATAGACTTATTGACTGCTAAACTGATCCTTAAAACAAGCTAAATAATTATTCTTATCTGATTGCCCCTATTCACCAGTTTTCTGAAAGAAAATGAGTTCATTACAATAAAAAAATGTACAACCTCAGAAAAATCATCTGTTTGAACTAGGAAATAAATGGTGCAGGGAGAATAAAGAGAAAGCTTTGCAGTAGTCTTGATGAGAGGCAATATGGCAATATGAATTTTAAAAAATAACTACTCATATAATGTTCAACACACATATATCTATTAGCAATATAGTTATCTAAGCTCTAAAAAGGTAATTCTTTTTTATTTTATTGTCTTGGATTTAACTTAATGTATTGTGAGGAAGTCTATTTGGTTATTTTAGCTTTGGCCTTAATCTCCAGCCTTTTTATCTATTAAGAATTTTCTGTAGAAGAGCTGAAGATCATATATATTCTCACTAGTAAAAGCTCTCTCTTCCCCCCCAAATTCTTCTTTCTCTGAGGAAAGGAGAAATTTTGATGACCTCATCAATATACCTGCTTATAGGGAAGTGAGGATATATATGATGAGAGAATACCTATATCTTAAATGTTTTCTTAAGTATCAGTGGACTGAGAGTGTCTGATGCAACATATTTGGACTTGCCTTGTAGGTCTTGGTCATCACAGCCAACATCATTTTAATGAGCAGATATTCTCCGATTTTCATAATTACCAGCATGTTATTACTTCCTTCAACCATTGTGGGTGGATTTCCAAGCTTTATAGATATGGTAAGAAGGCTGACTTCTCAACCTAGTGGTTGAGGTAGCCAGATCCTGCATGACTGACTGCATGATTCAAGTTTCAGTCTTGGTGGTTTGAAAATCATGCCAGATAGATGTGCATGAATGCCCACAATCTCAACAGGATGGAGAAATGGAGGTGAAGGGATTGAGGCAACCATGCCCCCATTGAGGGGTGCTCTCTCCTTCCTTCTCTTACTTTCTCTCTGTCTCTCTCTGGCAAGTACATAAACTCTGTCAAACTTTAAAAAGAAAAAAAGGTAAGAAATGTTACCACTGTGCCATTAGTATCGAATATGTAGCCTGTCAAAGCACTTTACCCAGATCTGCAGAGGCAAAAAGATTAGTGGGAATGTGTGTTCTTGGTGAACTGGGAAAACTTCCAGTTGCAAAAATACTTTTATATTGGTTAGTAATGCCTGGAATTCTTGACTGGAAACTCATTCTTTTATTGAAAGCAGTTTTTATTTTTAAGATATAAGTATAGATAGATCTACAAGCTGAAATACATTAGTCTAAATATGTCACATATTATTTTGAAGGAATTAATTACTTTCTGAATGAATGACTTGATGGAGAAATAGTAATATGATGGGGCTAATTATTATGGTGAGTCATCATTAGTGTAGAAGAGACCGAAAAGGCTTGTATTGTTGTATTGGGCACTTATGATGAGTATCATTTACCCCACTTCAAAATTTTCATGTGCTAGCATCATTTCTCTGCTTTCAGTAGACTTTTCATCAAATGTTAGAACCAAAAGATTAAACAAAACAAAACAAAAACCAGAAACAATAAAACACAACAAAATAAAAAGAATAGAAGAAAAGAACAGACAGGTTATAGGCTCATTAAGAGACAGCAAGAGTTGAGGAATGGACCGGTTCCCCATAACCTAGTGTTGAAAGGAGCTGGATCCCATATGGCTGAGTGCAGTTCATGTTCTATCCCTGAAAACTTCAAAAACATGCCAGATGCATGTGCATATATGCCCCAAATCCTTATAAGAGGGATAAGTAGAGGAGAATTACTGGGCGACTCTTTCTCTCTCTCTCTCTCTCCTGCTCGCTCTCTCTCTCTCTCTCTCTCTCTCCATCTTATCTCTTTCTAGTGAATACACTTGTCATCTGGCAATTAAAAAAAAAAGGAGTTGAGAAGATGGTCCTCCTTCCTCTCTGTAGGGGATGACTTTGTCATCAATGCATAGAAGAATCAAGCTTCTGAGATAAATAATCAATATGTAAGATATCATATTATTTAAGTGCAAATAAAAAGGTGATGAATTTTTATGTATCCTCTTTTGTTGCTCTTCTTTCAGAGAGTGCATGGATACTACGAAATGTTTGAAGAACCGCATCTCGACCTACTTGATGTTGATTTTCTAGTATGCCTAATAGTAAGAAGCCTCACCACATACTCTTGTTTGCTTGTTTTTAAAGATAGGGTCTCACAGTGTTGTGATCCTGCTTCTTCAGCCTCCCAGTGTGGCTACAGGCTCATGTCACCACACCTGACTCAAGGTCTTGCTGTGTGGCCCAGGCCAGACTGAGGTCTTGATCCTCCTGCTTCAGCCTCCCTGTTACTGGAACTAGAGGTGTTATTACCACTTTCAGGTTGGACTGAGAATCAAACCTGGGCCTCTCTTGTTAAAACCAAAAGACTCAGAGGACAGCAGCCTGGCAGAGTGCCACCACGCCTGAGCCTACAGATTTTTTTGGATGACTGTCATTTGCTATAACTATTGGATCTTACCTGGAGCATGCTAACTTTTAAAGTGTTTTGGATTTAGTCTTAGATAAGTCAACTACAGTTAGATATTATTCAAAAGCCTATAGTTATGTTTTATATGGACTTATCTTTTATAGTTATGTCCAGAATTCTGTATAAAATTAACATTGGGTTTGCATATCCATTTACTGCCTCCCTAAATTTGAGAGAACTTGGAAAAATACGCATGCAATATGACTTAAATCCTTTGAATTATAAAGGGACAAAAATTAAATAATAAAAATAGAAGGAAGACATGTATATTAGTCTATTGGTATATAAAAACTGAGGAAAGCTACTAACTTTGAATATTATGTGTTTCTAAGCGTAGAAACAAATACAGACAGAAATTCTTAACCCTAACTCTAACTGTAACTGTTTCTCTTTGCCTCTAGCCTTACTTTCAGGCTTTGCTATTGTTTTTTGTTCTAAGATGCATGGAACTAAAATGTGGAAAGCAAACAATGCTAAAGGATCCCGTTTTCAGGTTGGAATAATATTTAATTTTATACCTAATATCATGTTTTCATATCCTAGATAGTGGCTATGCTATCAACTTGTTAATACAGACTATGTTTACAGTACAAGCAGCACAGTCATTGTTATTATGGCCAGTGGATCGCTGGCTTATTGCCAAGAGATAGGATTCCCAGGCAGAATTCTGCCACTAAGAAGATGAGGGAGTCTTCTAAAAATTTAATCAGTATCCAGATATGCTACCTTCCCACTCAGAGTAGTAACACAGAATGGTATCCCTCTCTTCCTTGAACAGAAGAGATGGGATAGAATTGGCTTGACAGCACAGTTCAGAGTATCTCACAAGTGGAGGGACTCTACAATGAGCAGTAAAAGAGACTGAAACAATGACTGGTGTGATTAAGACAAGCTCAGAGTGAACAAGCAACCTAAATCTTAAAGAAATGGAAGCAGTGCTTGCCAACAAGGAGTCTAAGAGATGCTTACCGGAAGAATGTCAAAAATGCTTAGAAAGGGATTCTGGCTAGTGGGATGGGAGTTCTTAGTAAAAACAGAACCAGTATTGACAAGGGTCATTATCATCATCCCCAGTCTATTAAAAGAAAAGACAATGGTAAAATCTCAGCAGTATTGATATTTATTTGTTTTTAAAGTTTATGTCTTTCTTTCTCAAGGGAGAGAGAGAGAGAGAGAGACTAAAGAAGGGGAGGGAGAGAAAGAGATAGAGAGTTAGGCACCCTCAACAGAGTCTTCATGCCCCAATCCACTCCCAGCTTCAGCCAGCCCAGATCACAGCCATGTACCTGCACAGTGTTATCAGGGAGGCCTTAGGTTAGTCTTGCAGAATGTTGCATTTCCTCTGTGTCATGGTCCAGCCCCAGGTACAATGATATTTGATACATCTTTGACAACTAGAAAACCACATGTAACATATTTTATTTTCTTTCCAGAATTTCTCCCCAGAGTAGAAGTGTTCAGCAAAATCCAGAAGAACCTGTAGATGAAGATGAAGATGTTCAAGCAGAAAGAATAAGAACAGAAGCTGCCCTGACCACTTCAAACTTAGATGAGGTAGAATTGAAAGTATCAAAGTAGATTTAAAAAAAAATTTTTGCTATAGGGCATGTGTGCTCTAGAGAGAGAGAAAGACAAAGCAAGGGAAAGTGAGAAATTACCTCCCAGGCGGGCTGGCCATACCACAATCCCTTTTCCTCTAATCTCCTCTCAGGATTTTGGGCATGCATGTGCATGTGCCTGGGGTGATTTCAAGCCACCCGGTTTGGAACTAAGCCACTCAGTTGTTTATGTGTGATCCAGGGCCTTAATCTTCATGCCACCTGCTGGCCCTCAAAATAGATACTAATGAAATACCTAAGAACTGTCAAGAATAAAGGTTATGTTGGTTTTCATTTTGCAAGTTTGTAATTTGGTGCATTTTTAATTCTTAAATATGCAGGCACATTTTTGAGTATCCTGGGAACTAAAAGGATACAAAAACATAATAATTTTAATCTTTTTTTTTTGAGAAAATGGGCTTTATGATTACAGATATAGCATTGACACCAAACAAGACCTTATAAGTTGATGAAATTATAAAATACCAAGTAGAAATTTCAATTTTAATGCTTATTCTTTTTTTTTTTCTTTTAGAGAGAGATTTTTGATAAAGGGCACATCCGCTCACCAGAGAGACAAAGAGACAGAAAGCAAGAAATACCTCCCCGGGGTGACCCATGCCACAATCTCCTCTCCATTCTCCTCTCAGGATTTTGGGCACACACACATATGCACCCGGTGTGAGTTTTAAGCCACTGGGTCAGGGCCTTGAACCACAGTTGACTATGTGGGAGTCTCGTGACTTAACCATTAAGCTATCTGCAGGTCCCAGTGCTTATTTATTTTTTTTTATTTGACTTAACTCCTGTAATGTTTCCATAAGCTTAGCCACTTCTAGTCTAGCAAGGTAATGAACTTACTTTCATAAAATTAAGCTGAGAACAGTTTATTTAGAAGCAAGAAAAGTTGTCTATGTTAATAAATGTATATTATATACGTAACAAGAAACATGGGTTATTCTCAACTCAAAATATAGTTTGGGTTAAGATGTAGGACACCCCAATTTCCAGCAAGGAGAGAATAGAAATTCTGAAATTCAAGAAGAAAATCATAGTATCATCTCTTCTAGAAACCAGTCATAATTGCCAACTGTCTACACAAAGAATATGCAGGTCAGAAGAGAAGTTGCTTTTCAAAGAGGAAGAGGAAAATAGCAGCAAGAAATATCTCTTTCTGTGTTAAAAAAGGTTTGGAGTACTTTTAAATTCAGCTTTATTTTTAGAAATATCAACTGAATATCTACATCTTGGGTGTTTTTTACTTCCTGAATCACTCGTTTCCTTATCTGACACTTTTTTTTTTTGAGTGTACCAGACACTTTTTTAGGCTCTGGAAATACAATTATGAATAAAATGGGCAAAGTTCTTGCCGTTATGGATTTTACATTCTAAGAGTTAGCCCATAAGTAAGTTATCAGGAAAAGTATCAGGTATTAGTTAAGTTCTATGTGGAACACTGAAACCTGGAAATAACGCGAGTGAGTCAGGGCTGCCTTATATTAGGGTCAGGGATGGCGCCTCTTGACCAGTGACATTTAAGCCAAGATCTGAGTGACAGAAAGGTGCCAGCTTTGTATGCATTAAGTAATGAGTTTGTTGAGGTAGAAGAAACATTGAAGGCAAAGACTCAGACACAATAATGCATTTGGAGTGGTTGAGTCTCAGAGAGGCCAGTGGATGCATGTGTGAGTGGAGTATCTGAGGTCAAAGAGGAGCATGGGATCAGGGGAGGTGTGGCTTTTTAAAACAGCGAGTTTATACCATGTTAGTGGAATGCCACTTGGGGGTCCTTAGCAGCCTTGGGTCATCATTTACTTTACTTTTTTTTTTTAGAGAGATTTTAGCCAGAGAGACAGAAAGAGAAAAATATATCCCCCCCCGCCCCAGGGGGGATGACCATGCTGTAATCCCTTCTCCTCCATTCTCCTCTAGGGATCTTGGGCATGCATGCATACATGCCTGGTGTGAGTTTTAAGTGACTGGGTCTGGGACTCAAACCATTGTTGACTACATGGGAGTCCAGCAACATAACCATTATACTATTTACTTTGTATTTTAATAAGATTTCACACTGGCCACTGTTTGTCTATTTGCATGGGGACCAAATTAAGAGGTTCTTATATCAGTTCAGGTGAAAAGTAAAGGTAGCTTGGACATAAGTGGTTGAATTAGGAATGAAGAAGATGCCCCCTGACTTCCTGGGCCAGGAATCAGTTATACATGTAGTCAGTGCACCAGCCAGCTACTACAGAAAACAACTGGGCACATTTTTTTTTTTTTGAGAGATTTTCACTGTAGGGCGCGTGCACTCGCCAGACAGACAGAGAGAGACATAGAGACAGAAAGCGAGAAATCACCCCCCAGGGGGATGGTCACGCCGCAATCCCTTCTCCTCCATTCTCCTCTCGGGATCCTGGACACGCACGCACACGCGCCCGGCGTGAGTTTCAAGCCACCGGGTCCGGGACGTGAACCGCGGTCGACTACGTGGGAGTCCAGCGACATAGCCATTACGCTAACTGCTGGTTCCCGACAACTGGGCACATTTTTAATGAAACAAGTAATGGGGGAGGGCAGTAAAGATGGATGTATTCGCATCAAATTTATAAGCTTTTCACTAATAGTTTATATAGTTACAGGAGTTAAGGTCATGCTGGGTAAAGCCTCTTTACAATCTAAATGATGTATAGTGATTAAATGTTTAAATAATAATTAAAATTAATAAATAAAAAATAATGTGATTTGAAGACATAAGTTACATTTACACTATAAATTTCAATATGGTTCTAAGGTTGCACAGAATCCGAATTTCATTGAAGAAACAGATTTCTGTTCATCAGGATTTCACTTCCAATATTGCTATTCTGCTTCTGTCTTTCAGGTGAAGTTTTGGGATTGCTGGGACCCAATGGCGCTGGTAAAAGTACATCTATTAGAATGATATCTGGGATCATAAAGCCAACAGCTGGAGAGGTATTAAGAAGTAAAGAAATAATTTCCATTCCCAAAACAGAGATTTCATAATCAAAATAGAGTCTATCTTTGAAATGCTATACTTTTTTGCTTTTAGAATAAATCTATTGGCTTGATAGAAAAATCATGATGCATTTTTTTTTATTTTGCATAGAAAAACAGAAGAATACGTCCTGACTTTCCCAACGACTCAATATTTTTCCTGTCTTATTCTTTTCGTGGGGCATCAAGAGTATATAACAGGACTTGGAATGTCATCAGGAACCAAGAGCTCCTTCTTCACAGTTTCTCAGGAACTACCTGAGCTTATTAGGTCTTTTCTCCCCTTCCTGTGCAAGACAATACTTTTTTTTTTTTTTTTTTGAGAGCTTTTTACTATAGGAGGAGTCAGATTTTTGCTATAGGGCGCGTGCACTTGCCAGACAGACAGAGAGACAGAAAGCGAGAAATCACCCTCCAGAGGTGATGGCCATGCCGCAATCCCTTCTCCTCCATTCTCCTCTTGAGATCTTGGGCACACATGCACACGCACCCAGCATGAGTTTTAAGACCCCTGGGTCCAGGACGTGAACCGTGGTCAACTACGTGGGAGTCCAGCGACAAAGCCATTACGCTAACTGCTGGTCCCACAAGACTATACTTTGATATTAGTAATTTGAAATGTTTTTGATAATAAATATATGAAGTAATTTCTGTAATATTTATTTGATGCTCATTTTAGGTGCTTATTAGCTAAATGTCAGTTGCTTGAGGAATTGCGGGGCTGGTGAAAAGGCTTCGTGTGTTTCTAAAGCCATTTTACTTTCGTAGGTGGAACTGAAAGAATGCAGCTCAGGTTTGGGTCACCAGGGAGATGGCACTGTCAAGTTCCTGGGATACTGTCCTCAGGGCAACGTGCTATGGCCCACCCTGACGATGAAAGAGCACCTGGAAGTGTACGCTGCTGTCAAAGGGCTGAGGAAGGGGGCGGCCGAGGCTGCCATTACACGGTACAGAGCTGTGTGATTCTTTCCTGTCTAGAGGCAGGGAGGCTGTACCACTCATGATGAACTCACTGACAGAATGAAGAGCAGAGCAGAGATAATGTCTCCACCTTTTCTGTATGTTAGTGATAGAATAGGGATGGGGTAACCTGGTTTCCTACACCCCTGAATGAGGGGTCTTTAAAAAAAATGTAAAAATAAAAACCATAAAAACCCAATAACAAAAAACTGACTGACAGGGTTGGTTGGTAGTAAAATGCAAAGCTCTGCAAGGCTGACTCACAAGGGAGTTGTCCTGGGTTTTTGCAGAGTCTTCCCTGAATACATCAAGCACACATGTGCTCAGGATCTGGGCTGGCCGAGGCTAAAGGTGGATAAAATTGTTGAGACCTTCTTGGGGTGCTGTATCTCTCTGTCTGTCTCTAAGTTTTTTTTTTTTTTTCAATTTTTAAAAGCATTTTTAGAAATTAAAAAAAAAATCTACAGAAAATAAGTGAATAATTTATCCATTTCTGTTTTCTAATTTAAAAACTGGAAATGGAATAATCATTTGCTTGGTTTCTCATTCAGAATTCTAGCTTTTCTTAAAAATTGTTTATAAGGTGAAAATAATGGATGTTCTAAAATGAATTATTTTTCTTTTGTTGTGAGTTAGAGTTTTAAAATTAATGCTGCCACACTTCCCTTCAATGTGTCACTGTTGTGCATTTTCCAAACATCTTCTCCTGACCTGAGGTTGTCCTCCTATTCTCCATCAGACTAGTGGATGCTTTCAAACTGCATGAGCAGCTGAATGTTCCTGTGCAGAAATTGACAGCAGGAAGCAAGAGAAAGGTTTGTGTGGTGCTTGATGCTTCTCTGAGGGCTGGCATGGTGCAGCAGCAAACAGGTATCTCTCTGCGTTGCAGTTGTGTTTTGTGCTGAGCATCCTGGGAAATTCGCCTGTGTTACTTCTGGATGAACCGTCTACTGGCATGGATCCAACAGGGCAGCAACAAATGTGGTGAGTACCCTTACACCCCTCAGAGCTGTGCGTAGGAATACAAAGTTAAGTTTTTAAACTGGTCTCAGAAAATCAACTCTCAAATGCACTGGTTACTGATTCAGGGGAGATGATTCTTGAAAACAAACACTTAGGCCAAACCAAGGTGTTGTGCCTGCCAAGACCTGTGCATCACAGGCTGGCATCACATCAGAGGCCTAGATTTAATTCCCAGTCCAACTGCAAGACCAGACATGTAGCATGTATTTCGATCCCAGTGACTGGAGACACTGGGGCAGGATCTTGAGCTCTAGGCTTGCCCGGACAGCACAGTGAGACTATCTTAGAGTTGGATGTGATGGCAAATGTCTTGAGAGACATCTTAGGAGACTGAGACAGGAAGATTGGAACATAAAATATATCTTAAAAAACAAAAAATGTAACATATAATATCTAATGTTGCATCATTATTCATGTGAAATTAATGTTCAAAACTCTAAATATTTTGTTGGAGCTTTAGATCTTTTAATTTGGAAATTTCACAAGGAGAGAGAAAGAGATTACTTCTTCTCCATTCTCCTCTTGGGATTTTGAGCATGTATGCACATGTACCCAGGATGTTTTTCAAGCCACTGGCTCCGGGGCTCAAATTGCAGTTGGCCATGTGGAATCCAGCTGCCTTGACCACCATGCCACCTGTTTAGCCCAACTTTTATTTTGCCTTTTAATGATTGAGATGCCCATATTGTTTCCTTTTTTTTCTTCTACTTTGTTCCCATGGTGAGTATTAATCTCCTGACACAGTTTCCCCGTATCTATTTTCTCCTCTTTTACATAATCTGTCAAATTTGTTTATCCCATTTTTCTCATGTTTTTCTTACTTTTTAATCTTGGACTTACTATTAGAATGAATAAAATGTCTATCCAGTTTCATATTTGTAACTGTCCAATATTTTTCTAACTAAAAGAAAGACTTTAGCATGGCGACTTTGCAGAAATGTAGAGAGCTGTGTATGAGCCCATTAGACCTATCACCCAGTTTCAGCAGTATCAATGGAAGGCCAGTCTCTTTCATCTATACCTCTACCCACTTCCTTTCCCCACCCTCCAATTACTTTAAAGGAAATACTAGACAATATTTGTTCATTTATAATTATCTTAGTTATTATCTCCAAAAGATACATTTTCTTTTTTAACCTTAATCATAAAACCATTCACATATCTAAAATCCTAGGAACTTCTATTTATGTTATAAAAATTCTAGTCAGTATTCACAGACCCCTTGATTTTTGAATTAGGATTGAAATCTAATTTATAAACTATATTTTACTTGTACATGTTCCTCTCCATCTCTCTCCTTCTTGCTATCTTTTATTTTTTCTTTGCCACACTTTTTAAGTGTTAATTTCTTGGCTCCATTCAGGCAAGCAATCCAGGCAACTGCCAAAAACAAAGAACGAGGTGTCCTGCTGATTACCCATTACCTGGCTGAGGCTGAGGCACTGTGTGACCGTGTGGCCATCATCGTATCTGGAAAGCTGAGGTGGGTGTCTATCTCGAAACTGCACTTGACATTTAGAAAAGAGTATAATCATTCTGATCGACAGGAGCCCTTTCCCTTTTTTATTCCCCTTTAAAGAATTATTTTATTTAATTAATTTTAGTCATTGTCATTATTTATTATTATTATTTTTTTTAAGTTGACCAGAGAGAGAGAGAGAAGGAAGGTGAGAAAGCAAGCTGTCAGGTCTGGGACTTGAACTGTGGTCAGCCATGGGGGGGTCCAGCCCCCCTAACCACCACACCAACTTCCGGCCCCCATTTCTTTCTTTTTTTTAGGTTTTGCCATGGGGGATGAGCATGCTGCAATCCCTTTTCCTCCATTTTCCTCTCAAGATTTTGGGCATGCATGCACAAGTGCCCAGTGTGATTTTTTAGTCCCTAGGTCTGGGATTCGAACTGTGGTTGGCCATGTGGGAATCCAGGACCTTAACCACGATACCACCTGCAGGCCTTGAGAACCCTTTCTTTTGGGTTCCTTGGTGACACCCTTTCTTATACATTTAAAATTTCAGAATAATACCAAAAAATCAAGGGCAATGTTTTTTTTTCCAACACATTCTCCTTCTCGTCCACAGATGCATTGGATCCATCGAACATCTGAAAAGCAAATTTGGCAAGGATTACATTCTAGAACTAAAAGTGAAGGACATTTCTCAGGTGACTCTGGTCCACATGGAGATTCTGAAGATTTTCCCACAGGCTGCGCAGCAGGAAAGGTGAAAAGAGTTTTTTATTATGGAGAAACATAGACTTCACATACTTGCTGGTTCATTTTTTGAACTCTGAGAACTTCACGATGACTTGACTTTATAATAAAAGTCTTGGACTTCAAAGGCTCATATGTTTCATATTCCAGATTATAAGAGATTTGAGAGCCACCAGGAAGCTTTCCCCCAGGGTAGACCAGAGACATTTTCCTTGGCTGCCTGGGCTGGTCTTCAGCTCTGGAAAAATTGGGCAGAAGGAACTTCTGATGACCCAGACCCATTCAGAAGCACAGTTGGGCCCATCGCATCCTCTTTTTTTTTTTGGAGAGGTTTTCACTATAGGGCGCGTGCTCTCACCAGACAGAGAGAGACAGAGAGACAGAAAGCGAGAAATCACCCCCCAGGGGGGATGGTCACTCTGCAATCCCTTCTCCTCCATTCTCCTCTCAGGATCCTGGGCACACATGCACACGCGCCCGCCATGAGTTTTAAGCCACTGGGTCTGGGACGTGAACCGCGGTTGACAACGTGGGAGTCCAGCGACATAGCCATCATGCTAACTACTGGTTCCCATCCCATGGCATCCTCTTTAGGTCTCCTCACAAATATTTTTAAAATATAAATATTTAAAATTTAAAAAGTGTAAATATTTAAGATGAATCCACCCATAGGAATAAATAGCAATCAAGGTAATCAAAGAGCCTCCCTTTAATAGAACTCTCTTGTCTCAAAATGGTGAAAAGAATGGGGCATATGTGTGCATGTGCGTGCGCGTGTGTGTGTGTGTGTGTGTATTATTCTGGGGATGGCAAGGAGTTGGAGCAGGATCTGAATTTGAAATTCCCTGGAGGGATAAGCACATCAAAGAAACAAGACATAAAGACTTCTCTTTATTTTAGCACAGTGTAAATATAATGGAATTATCTAAGAGTTATGCCAGGGTGTATATAACTCAATACTATTCCCAGGCCTTTGGTGTCACAAATCAGAAAAGTGGATTTTGATCCAGGTGGGAAGTTTGTGAGTGGCAAGATGGAAGGAACATGGGCTGGTCTGAAGAGGGCAGCCTGAGGGAGCCCAGCTCCTGTTTGGAAATGATCTGGGAGCAGGGCATGAGGTCATATGGCTATAAGCAGCTACAGAACAAGATACTTGTGTCAATTCTGGCTTTTCCCCAGAGGTTAGGAGAGTTTTTAGTTAAAGCCTTTGAAGTCCTTCCTCTATTGTTATGGCCCACTCTCCCAAACTCATCTTTCTCTACAAGGTAGCCTTCTGATGACAAGGATGAACTTTTTGGGAGTGTTAGTTTCCAAATGTAATTTGAACTAATCAGAGAATAGCTCAGAATATCTTGTTTGTTTTGTTTTGTTTTTAATTTTGCTAGACGGTACATTCACTCACTAGAGAATAAGTGAAAAAGCACCTCACCTGTTCCATCCCCGCCCCACCCATGGGAATGGCTGCTCTGTGATCCCTTTCTCCTCCATTCCCCCTCAGGATTTTGGGCACCCACACATATGTGCCTAGCATGTTTTCCAAGTCTCCAGTCTGGGACCTGAGCCACACAGTAGGCATGTGGGATCCAGCTGCCTTAACCACTGTGCCACCTTGCTGGCCCTGGTATATTTGTTTTTTTAACAAGCAAAAAGTTTAAATGAACTGAGCATATAAATAGGCTGGGTCATTACTAGAACTGTCTACAATAGCCGGTTTTAAAAACTTACTTAAAAATGTTTCCATTGGTAAACAATTTTGTTTCATATTTCAACTGTACATTAATTTGCATTACTTTATTTTAAGAAGGAAATTGTTGATAATATCTGTGATGTTACTGTGATGCGTGTGTGTGTGCATGTGCGTGTGTGTGTTACTGTGATGCTCATTTTCTCCCTATGGAATGCAAAGGTGAATAAGACATTCCCTTATTCCCAGGCATTCCTCCTTGCTGGTCTACAAGCTGCCTATAGCAGAAGTCTACCCTCTATCTCAGGCCTTTCACAAATTAGAGACAGGTAAGAATGATGGTGTTAAAATAAAACTTTTGGGAGGATCAGTTCATACATAATGGGAGAGATTTATGTAATGCATCCAAAAGGTAGACCCTGGAATTAATATTTTTAAAGAATTCTAAAGTTAGATGATGGTGGGATTTAACCCCAATTTGAGTTAATCCAACTCTACGGAAAGGGGTTAAAGGAAGGATTAAAGCTGCAGAAAACACACAACCAGGCTTGACTGTTCTTTCTGTGAGTTTCTGGCATGAACCTCAAAAGACCCTTCTGTGCGGCCTGCTTTGCCTACATATACACAATCCATTCATAGCAAGTGGCCTAAATTATGACTTCATTCCTCCTATTTCTTTACATATCCACCTCCTTCCCTCTTTTCTCCATCAGCTGATGTCCTTGCTTTATGTCTTACTAATCAAATAAAAGCAACAGAGAACAGTTTCATCAACCTCCTCCTGTCTGTGATGTATTCAGCCTTCTTGTTAGGATGAATGAATGGCTATGTCTTTAGCTAAGGTCACTCCCTGCACTGTGCATAGCTCCTCTTGCTACTGAAAATGGCCCATTCTTTTTTCCCTGTGTCATTTTTCTGCATTAAATTGGGTCATTCCCCACAGCAGACCATCACAGTGTATTCCAGAGCTGGTGTTCCCGGGTGCCCATCCTAGTGTTGCTGTGTACTGTTTGGGAGTCAAGTTACTTATTCCCTGCATGTCTAGATGGCTCTCCTTTGAAATGATCACATCAGTGCCCACTCGACAGGACTGTTAGAAAGATTAAAATGAATTCAGCTGTTAAGAGACTAGAATAGTGCCTGGCTCATTGTGTTTGAGATAGTGTCTCCACCTTGTTCCTCCCACTTTGCACACCTAACGTCCTTGCTGTTTCTAAACTCTTCACGTGCTCCCGCCTCTGTGCTTTGCATTTGCTACTCCTTCTACCTGGAAATCTCCTTCCTAAACAGCCGAGCTGCTTCCTCAATTCTTCAGGTTTCTCTTCAATGATCATCATCTTATTCTGGCCTTCCATGACTGTCCTGTGAAATAGTGCCCAGCATTTTTCCCTAGTTTTCTGCCTTCTTGTTTTTCTCTATAGTTGTCACCATTGGCTTTATTATAAATGTGTTTGTGTATTGAATGAAACTATTCCTCCCATTCAATTGAAAACTATATAATAAGAAGGCAGGATTCTTACCTGTTTTCATTACTGTTCTACTCTTGGTAACCAAGAGTGCCTCACACACAGGAGATTTTCAGTATATAAATGTTGAGCTGCAAACACACAACTATGTGAATATGATGATGACTGTCATGTAGATGTCCTGGTGGGAAAGCTCAGCAGAGAGCTGGTCTAACAGGCAAATGACTAAAGGGAGTCCAGGTCCCTCAAAGATGGGAAGGGATTGAAATCTTCCTCATGTGTAAAAACATCAATCAGTGATGTCGTTCCTTAAGGAACACATAATATCTCCCTAAGACATATACGCTATGTGACAAAACACATGTTATCAAAACAAAATGTGAAAAATTCCAATATCAAGATTAATTTAACATATATTTAGATGAACACTTTATGGCTTTCATTACTTCATCCTCCCACCAAATATTTTTTATTCAGCTTTATCCTCACTCTATGTTAATGAGTTACATTTTAATTTTATATGCTTTTGGAAAAGTTCTTGGTATTAAATCATCAGCAATTCCTTTTTTATTCTTCTTCAGTTAAACATAACTTTAATCTGGAAGAATACACCCTCTCTCAATGCACTTTGGAAAAGGTGAGTCAGCTTGTTTGATTTTATATCATTCCTGTAAATTTCATATGAAAGCAACATTTTTTTTTGTTCATTTGGAAGACAATCAATAATTTGTTAATTCCTTCTCCTTCTCTTGTCTCCTATTTAGGTATTCTTAGAGCTTTCTAAGGAGCAGGAGGTGGAAAATTTTGATGAAGAAGTCGATACAAATATGAGATGGAAGCTCCTTCATTCAGAAGAACCTTAAGACCTTAAGCCAAATAATTTGCTCCTGACATCCTGTAATAATTAGCGGTATATGTAATTGCAAAGAGTATTAGTGTCAATATCAGAGGTACTTTGTGTTTAGCCAATAAATGAATAGATATTAAAATTCTCCTTCTCATACTTAGGGGTGATAGAAAATCTGTGAAAAAGGCAATGCAAAATATTGGTAACGTAACCCAAAGAACCAGCCACTAGGTTCTGTGGGAATAAAACTACACACTTGGAATGAATTTTCTTTTTCTTTCTTTCTTATTTTTTTTGACCAGAGGGTACATACACTTGCTAGAGAGAGAAAGTGTGTGAGCAGAAGAAGAGAAAGCGTGCCCCAATAGCACGTGTCTACACAGCTGTCCTTTTCTCTCCATTTCTCCATCCCATCAGGATATGCATACACATGCACCCAGTGTGTCTCAAGCCACTGGAGCTGGGTCTCAACCCGCAGTCGGCCATGTGGGATTCGGTTCCCCATGCACAGTGCTTAGCTGCTGTGCTATAGGGCAGGCCCCTGGAATTTTTTGATAAAGGAATTTTGTTTTACATTTACTAAAAGATTCTCCTAAAACTGTACACTTACTAACATACTCGCCTGCTGAAATAAGCAAGGTGTGTATTCAATGGCCAGGAGCTTTATGACTACTTCACATGCATTCACGACCAGTCAGCTTTACTTTTTTTACATATTAGTACATCCCAAGTGTCTTCTAGAAACTTCCAGAAATGGTTTTAAAATCCACAGGTTTTAGGAGGTCTTTGGATTCACAAGTGGCTAAGCACACACACACACTGGAAAAAATAGTTTAAATATACCTTTGGAAACAAGGGGAGTAACAGTATTCCCAGTAGTATTTGTCAGATTTTTAGAATTTTGTCTACTAATATTAATTATCAGTAGTGCTGATTTCCTTTATCACCTCATCAGTAGTTTTCTGTGTTTTTTATTTTATTTTAAGGTCATTTTCTCTTTATAGATGTGTTTGTAAATGCATGTGTAAGTTTATCTTTCATATTACTCAATTTAAAAACGTGTATATCAACTTTGCAATATTTTTTCCTTAAAAATAAAGATTCTATTCTGAATATCATGAGAAAATTTTGTGAAGATCAGTAATAGCTTTCTTTTTTATTGTCATAGCTGACATATTACTTAAAAATGTTATTATGCTCACTGAAGAAAAATGTGTATGACAGAGAAAAATACAGAAATTAAGTAAAATTGAATAAAATAATAACTATAATTTCTCCACATAAAAGATTAAACTATTTCCTTTTTCTTTAGTGCATTTTTTTCAGGGTTACATTGTTGAAATTAGTGTACCTAAAATTTCTTAACACCTATTTGCTGATTTAACAATGAATTTTTCTTCAAAGGTTTCACCATAGGGTGCATGCACTCCCTAGGGAGAGACAGAGACAGTGAGAGGGAAAGTGAGAAATCACCCCTCAGAGAGATGACCATGCCACAATCCCTTCTCCTCCATTCTCTTCCTGTGATTTCCAGGATTTATGCACATGCACACGCACCGGGTGTGATTTTTCAAGCCACCAGGACTCATACTGTGGCTGTCCGTGTGGAGTCCAGGGGTTATGACCACTATGCTACCTGCTGGCCTCTAACAATGAAGTTTTAATTTACTTTGAAAGATATGGTGAAATTGCATCTTTATAACTTTGCATTTTATTTGTTGTTAACTATTCATATTCTTTATTTTTGTGTTTTAATCTTTTTCTTATCTCCTTTCCAAGCTTTTTATATAGTTAAGTTTTTATTGGTATATCTTACATATATCAATTATATATGAAGAGACATATTTCTAAATCTATTTTAAATGATCTACAATGTTTATTCAGGAGCCTTAGTGACCTATAAAAGTAAATTTGTATTATAATAAGAGTTGACTTTATTTAAATTATTTCTTAAACTCAAGTGATAAATTCTCCTGGGTTGCTCCAATGTGTAATACCACAACATACATGACCATTTCACTAACAGCATAATAAAAATCTTTGCTTATAGTCTTTTTAAATTTCCTTAACTGTTACAGAAATGTTTACAGTGTACTGAATAACCCATATCAGATATGGTATGAATATTTTAAAAATATTAAGCTGGACATAATTTGCTAAAACTATTGTAATATGGTATGACTGTTTTGAAGTTATTAACTTAAGGTTTTTATTAGTATTGTCTCTAGGAGCACATGAATGGATATAAAAAGTGAAGATCAGAATAAAGCAAAAGAAGGAATTAACAAAAATATGGAGGCTCAGCCCCAGTGGTATAGCTGACTCCATATGGAAGACCTTGGTCGCTTCTTGTTGCAGCCCAAAATCTGAGCAGTATGTGTCTGTAGGCCCAACAACTAGAAAGGCTGAGGCAGGAGGATCAAAAACAGAGGAAAACCCCATGTTAAAAAAAAGACAAAGGAAAAGGAGTTGTTCCATTTCTAATTCTATGGTAAACAGATCTCGTGGTGCTTCTACTCTTTATGTTCATAATGTAACCCTTCCGTAATAGGCAAAGCATCACTGATTCTCTGATGTCTGGTTTCCAGTTGGATTCCAAGCTCTGACCATGCTTTTCTCTTCACCCGTATAATTGCTCTTTGGTATTTTGGTTCTCCACTGTGTTTAACACCCCACCTGCACACATTAGCCATTAAATCATTACTTTACACAATAAATATTTATTTCATTTACAGCACACTTAGTTTCTGGTATCCAATTACTTCCTTCTGGGTTAGTTTTTTTCTTCTTGAAGGATATTTATACGTGGAGAAGGGATTTTGACTTGGCCTTCTGCCTGGCCTTCTCAGTTTCCCAGTTTCTTTCTATCTGTCTCTCTCTCTGACAAGTATATATGCTCTCTGGCAAATGAATGAATGAATTAGTTAATAAGTTTTTTAAAAAAGGGGGGCCAGCCATTGGTATGCTGGTTAAGGTAGCTGAATCTCAAATGGCCAACCTTGTGGTTTGAATCTGGACTGGGAGCCTTTAAAAATGTGGGATGCATGTGCATGGGTGCCCAAAAATCCCAAGAGAAAAATGAAGAATAGGCAAAGCATCACTGATTCTCTGATGTCTGGTTTCCAGTTGGATTCCAAGCTCTGACCATGCTTTTCTCTTCACCCGTATAATTGCTCTTTGGTATTTTGGTTCTCCACTGTGTTTAACACCCCACCTGCACACATTAGCCATTAAATCATTACTTTACACAATAAATATTTATTTCATTTACAGCACACTTAGTTTCTGGTATCCAATTACTTCCTTCTGGGTTAGTTTTTTTCTTCTTGAAGGATATTTATACGTGGAGAAGGGATTTTGACTTGGCCTTCTGCCTGGCCTTCTCAGTTTCCCAGTTTCTTTCTATCTGTCTCTCTCTCTGACAAGTATATATGCTCTCTGGCAAATGAATGAATGAATTAGTTAATAAGTTTTTTAAAAAAGGGGGGCCAGCCATTGGTATGCTGGTTAAGGTAGCTGAATCTCAAATGGCCAACCTTGTGGTTTGAATCTGGACTGGGAGCCTTTAAAAATGTGGGATGCATGTGCATGGGTGCCCAAAAATCCCAAGAGAAAAATGAAGGAGAAAGGATTGCAGCATGGCCATCCCCTGGTAGAGAGAGGGGTTCTCATTTTCCCTTCTCTCGCTCTGTCTCTCTCCAGCAAATACATGTAGTCTCTAGCAAATTTAAAAAAAAAAATCATAATTATGCACTAAGCAAATGGCCTCTAGTAAAAAGAATTAAAGTAGCAAAAGTATTACAAAATTTAACAGCATACATTCAATGTACATGCTTTTCTTGCACAGCTATTTTTAGTTTGATGCTAATGTCTTGAATTTGAGTAACTCTCCTTGTTCAATATGTTTTTTCTTTTCTTGCTGATTTTAAGCATTTTCTTGCCTAATGTTCAAGCCATTCATTAGTTATCAGTTCCCGTAGCCATTGAAGCCTTTCTTAACCTACCAATAATATTAATCAATGATAAATGACTTTTAGCAATTATTTTGAGCCATTAGTTCTGAGACAAACTACACACATTTTCGTTTTCTCTAAAGGAGCACAACCAAGGTCTGCAACACTTGCAACACGACCTGAGAGTTCTTTGCATGAATAGATAATCTTCTACTTTCTCGGTGGTGTCTATTGCAAGACTTCTACGCTCTCTCAACTGTCTAGCATACCTGTTGGTTTATTCTTAGAATTTGCTTTCTACTTCTCATAAAAATCTTAATATGAAATCTTTACTTCATGTCATCATATTTAAAAATTCTCTCAGCTTTCATGGGCACTTTTTATTTCTTGTGATAAGAAATAAAAAGTCCTTTCTTGTTTTTAAGGTTGTACTTTCATCTTGCTTCTGATTTAATCTCTTTTTAGCCACTCTCCCACCTCACTAAAAAGCAGCACTCCATCTGTTACTTGATTTTTTTCCCCGTGTTTTCAACATTTCTTCTTTAACTTCTGCTTCAAAGTATTATCTAAACTAACTAGCTAAGTAGATAAATAAGTAAATAAACAATAAACTTCCAAAGCAACCCATCTTGGCTACCACCTAATCAATGAGCTTTTCTTTCATTAACTAGGCTTTTCTTTTCTTTCTTTTTTTTTTTTGCTTCTCCACCTCACATTCAATATTATACATTTAAAACTTAAGGGACCAGCAGATGGCATAATGGTTAATGGTTACATTGTTGGACTCCCACATAGTCAACTGTACTTCGAGTCCTGGACCCAGTAGGACCGGGCATGTGTGTGTGTGTGTGCCCAAAATCCTGAGAAAAAAATGGAAGAGAAGGAATTGCGTCATGGCCCTCCTCCCTGGAGTGGGAGGGAGGGGGTGATTTCTCTCCTTCTGTCTGTCTGCCTTTCTCTGTCCAGTGAGCACACATGCCCTACAGCAAAAATCTTTCTCAACAAAACAAAACAACTTAAAACGTGTGTTAAATAAGTTTCTTTCTTTTTTTCTTTTTTTTGGAGAGACGTTCTCTGTAGGGCACTTGTGCTCGCCAGAAAGACAGAGAGACAGAAAGCGAGAAATCACCCCCCTGGGGGGATGGCCACACCGCAATCCCTTCTCCTCCATTCTCCTCTCGGGATCTTGGGCACGCAAGCACATGTGTCGGGTATGAGTTTAAGCCACCGGGTCTAGGACTCGAACCATGGTTGACTACATGAGAGTCCAGCGACATAGCCATTACGCTAACTGCTGGTCCCAAATAACTTTC